GGAGATGGTCCAGAGAAGGTTCACTCCGTTGATCCCAGGAGACTTATGCATAGAGGTTGAGTAGGATGAGTCTGTACTCTCTGGAGTTTAGAAGAATGACAGGAGACCTTTCCTGAAGCAAGATTCTCAGGGGACTTGACAGGGCAGATGTGAAAATGTTGTTACCCCTTTGTGGGAGAGTTCAAGACCAGAGCATATAACATCAGAATAAAACATAGACGAGGAGGAATTTCTTCATTTTGGACAGGGATGGGGCAGAATTTCTTCTTGCAGACAGTAGTGAATCTGTGGAATTTTTTTTTACCACAGAGGGGTGTCAAGGCTTATATTCCAGCCTGACCCGGGCATATTTTTAATCAGATAGGAAATCAAAGGTATTGAGGAAAATGTAGGAAAATTAGTTAAGGATCATCAATGATCTCATTGAATGGTGGAGCAGACTTGATGGACTGAATGGCCTACTTCTGATCCTACATCTCATGGCCTTAAAGATTCACGCAGGTAAGGGATAGAAGAGTTCTTTGGTCAAAATGAACTGCTAGCGTCATTAAATTTATCAAGAAAAGGATTTTTTTTTCAGTCTGAAAGAAAGAAAATTTCATTGAACCACTGAAGAACATGGTGAATAACAAAAGTTTCAGTTGTGGTGTCAGCAGGGATACAGGGGCTGTGAATACAGAAGCATATTGTTTTAAGAAAGAAGTTACGTGTAGATTAGTCTGTTGAAGGGTCCAGACCTGAAACGTCAGCCTTTCTGCTCCTATGATGCTGCTTGGCCTGCTGTGTTCATCCAGCTCTGCACCTTGTTGTCTTAGATTAGTGGATAGTGAAAGTTGTGCTCTGTGCCTGGAGTGTGGCTATTTTTACAGCGGAGATGAATAAACATAGTATCCAATCCTTCTGTGAATTCAGCTTTCCACTGAAAGGCTTCTGGTTACATGTCTTGTTGTGCTTTAGGCCTCATTGATACAATGGGCTGAATCGAATCGATCTGGACTCCCAATTAAGTCGTCTCTTTGAAAGTCGAGTTATGTGGCTATTCATTTTCAGAACCAATTTCTTGTTCCTTGTTCAAATTGAATTAGCATTAGAGGAAAGTTTAGACAACTTCTCCTTTAATAAGATTAGTCGCTGACTAAACGGATGATGAATCAGAAGGGTTCATTATAATTCCTCCCCAGGCTTGCCATTCTGTTGGGGCTGCAGCACTGAGTATCTCACTGCACTTCTAATCCTTGCCCTTTGCTCCCAAGCTTCTGTTTGAGATGCAGATGTCCAGACATAAGTGGCATGATGGCTCAGTGGTTGGCACTGCTGCCTCACAGCTCCGGGAACCTGGGTTCGATTCACCCACGGGGGACTGTCTGTGTGGAGCTCACACATTCTCCCCCTGCTCTGGTTTCCCCTCTCAATCCAAAAATGTGTAGGTTAGGTGGATGGGCCATGGAATTTGCCTGTAGTATCCAGGGATATGCAGGCTAGGTGGGTTAGCCATGCAGGATTATAGGGTAGGGGGCAGTAATACTCTTCGGAGGATCGGGGTGGACTCAATGGGCTGAATGGCCTGCTTCCATACTGTAGGGATTCTGAGAATGTGACAAGGTATCACCCCCGATGTTGGTATTGAGGGATTCAGCGAGTGTAATGCCTTTGAAAGCCGAACAATGATAGTTACATTCTCTCAGAATCACAAAAGTGTCACAGCATAGAATGAGACTATTCGGCCCATCGTGCTGACACTGGGTCCTCAAATGAGCATCATTACCCAGTGTCAATCTCCTGCCTTAACCCCAGACCCCTGCACTCCATTTACATCCAAATAACCAACCAATCCCGCTCTTAAATGTCTCAATTGAACCTGCCTCCTGCACATTTCCAGGCATTACATTCCATTCCTGAACAATGTGTTGTGTGAGAGAGTTTTCACTTCCTTTCAGTTTATATCAGTGTTACGTATCTTACTCCTCACAGTTCACCTTTGACAAATCACTTTAAATCTATGCCTTCTTGTTCTTGTCTCTGTACAAGAATAGCTTCATCCTATCTACTCTGTCCAACCCGCTCAGGATTTTGAAAAACCTCTAACAAATCTCCTCTCATCCTTCTTCTCTCCAAGGAGAACAGTCCCAACTTCTTCAATCTATCCTCATCACTGAAGTTTCTCATTGCTGGAACCATTGTTGTAAATTGCATCAGCTCTCTCTCCATATGTTCACATCCTTCCTATTATGCGGGGGTGCTATTACTGCACACAAAACTCCAGCTGAGGTCTAACAAATGTCTTGTACAAGTTCAACATCACTCCCTTGCTTTCGTAGTCTCTGTCCCTACTAATAAAGCTGAGAACACTATATGCTTTATTAACTGCTCTCTCCACCTCTCCTCCCACCTTTAATCACCTTTATAAAATAAAACCAAATCATTTATAAGGGAACTTGGTAATCCCACCAACCTGGGACTTACAAATCTTGTTTACATCAATAGATACTCTGTCGAAGTGAAGCTTGATACCAGTGCTGAGGTCACTATCCTACCAGGTCAGTTAGCGTGGCTGAAAGCAGTAACTGTAGCCCGAAAAATGACACGGCTTCAGTATCTGAGGAGTCGCAAATGGTGCTGAACATTGTGCAATCATCAGTGAACATCCCCATTTCTGACCTTATGATGGAGGGAAGGTCATTGATGAAGCAGCTGAAGATGGTTGGGCCTATGGCACTACCCTGAGGAACTCCTGCAGAGATGTCCTGGAGCTGAGATGACTGATCTCCAACATCTGTAACCATCTTCCTATGTGCCAGGTATAACTTCAAACAGCAGAGAGTTTGCCCCAATCACATTGATTCCAGTTTTGCTAGGGCTCCCAGATGCCACATTTGGTCAAATGCAGCCCAGGGCTGTAACTCTCACCTCACCTCTGCAATTCAGCTCTTTTGTCCATGTTTGAACCAAGGCTGTAATGAGGTCAGGAGCTGAGTGGCCCTGGGGGAACCCAAACTGGGCATCACTGAGCAGGTTATTGCTGAGCAGGTGCTGTTTGATAGCACTGTTGATGACACCTTCCATCACTTTACTGATGATCGAGAGGAGACTGATGGGGCGATAATTGGCCGGGTTGGATTTGTCCTGCTTTTTATGTACAGAACATACATGGCAATTTCCCACTTTGTCGGTAGATACCAGTGTTGTAACTGTGCTGGAACAGCTTGGCTAGGGGAGCAGCAAGTTCTGGAGCACAAGACTTCAATACTATTGCCACAATGTTGTCAGAGCCCATAGCCTTTGTAGTATCCAGTGCCTCTAACTGTTTCTCAACATCACATGAAGTGAATTGAATTGGCTGGAGACTGGTGTCTGTCATGCTGTGGACCACTGGAGGGGGCCGAGATGGATCATTCACATGGCACTTCCTGATGAAGATTGCTGTGAAAGCTTCAGCTTTATCTTTTGCACTGATGTGCTGGGCTCTTCCATCATTGAGGATGGGGATATTTGTGGAGCCTCCTCCTCCATTGAGTTGTTTAATTGTCCACCACCATTCACAATTGTAAGGGGCAGGACCTGGAGAAACACATCTTGATGCATGGCAGCAAAATCTGCATTAAAGCATGTGTACCCTCTGGATATGAGGGATAGCCAAAAACTGGAAGACTGATAGGGGCCGCTTTTATAACATTATGGATAGAGATACTGATTGATCGATGTTTAAATGCTATGTTGATAGACTCGTGCTGACCCTTCCATTCCCTTGCATGCTTCTCTATCTAATATCATCTTCTCACAGCCATTTAATTCATTCATTCTTGTTTTAAAATGCTAATCTTTTCTCAAATCCGTCCAATCTTCTGGCCTCTCCCAATCACTACCATCTCCTCCACCCAAACAACCCGTCAGAATATCTGCCCTCTTCCCAATCGAGCCTTTAAGTACTCTCCCAATGTTAACTGCACCACTAACAACAGGAGTGCCTTCAGTTCCCTGGGATTCCCTCCTTTAATCTTTCACCCTCTCTCTATAAACCTGGCTTTCCTCCTTTGGGATACTCTAATGACTTACCTATTGTCCCTAATACCTCAGAATGCAGCACGGTAGTATGTGCTGTTTACAACACTCCAGTGAAGCACCATGGTGCATTTTCTTGTTCTAACTCCCTGCTGTTATTAGACTGATGAATGAGCCCTCTAACTTTTGATCTTGTTAATGTTGATCCTACTTTCCGCACCTCATGTGCTGCGTAACCTGTACGCCTCTCTCTGTCTAAGCACCCTATAATCTGTATGTCTTTGCTTACTATGATCTGCCTATTCTACCCGCAAACAAAGATGTTAACTACACTTAGGTACACATGACTACAATAAATCAAATTGAATCAATTACACATGAATATATATATTTGAAACAGCTCTGTGAGATCATGGCAACATTCAAAGATTCATAATACTCCTGGAAAACTACTTTAACAATAAATAAACCAATTGGACCTACATTGCCATCCATCATTTAGTTGAGATATGAGTGATATTCACAGATTGCAAAACTAACATTGGGTCATTCACTAATAGTTCCATCTTCAGTGAAGCAAACACTCAATCTCTACAAGGGTTTGAGTGCAGTGACCCTTTCTCACAACAGTTCTGAAGAGGAATCATATCAAACTTGAAAGGTTAACTCTGTTTGTCTCTCCACAGATGCTGCCAGACTGGCTGAGTTTCTTCAGCCTACTCTGTGTCTATTTCAGATTTCCAGCATTGGCAGTTCTTGTTTTATTTAGAACCGCTGGGCAGAATATGTCTCTCTCTATCCGTTGCTGAATTTAACCCGCTTAAGTGAAGATGCGTTTAACCAGTACACACGAAACCGGACAAAATTTACCGATTACTGAATTAGAACAGTAACAGTGACAAGTGAAGTTTAACTCCTGCTTCACTTCATTTCCTTGGACCATAAATACATTCACTAACCAGCCCTTGGCTGTGCTGTAACGTCGTGACGTTGGCGGATTGTAACTTTCCAACCCCCCACACAGCTGAAGCCGACAGGAAAGGAAACCAATTGTCAAAAGACTGCAAGTGAGAAACTGTTGTTGAAAAAGAAACTTCCTTTGGGGTCCAAACGATTAACGAACGACCCAGGACTTTGAGAAACAAGCGCACGTTGGCGAAGTTAGCGGGAGAATTCCGAGGAGACAAGGTACTGATCAGACCATGTTACATTGCAGCTGACTGCAGGACCCCAGTGAGAGCCCAGGACCCCGTTGAGAATGCAAGGCTATAAAATTCTAACGGGACTGGACAGGGTAAATGCGGGAAGGATGTTCCCGATGACCGCGAGTCCAGAATCATGGCTCACAGGGGTAGGCCTGGGAGATAGAACAATTTCTTCACCCAGAGAGTGGTGAGCATGTGTAATTCGCGAGCGCAGAAAGCAGTCGAGGCCAAAGCATTGAAAGTTTAACAAGGGGTTAGATATAATTCATGGGGCTAAAGGGATCAAAGGGTATAGGGAGAAAGCAGGAACAAGGGACGAAGTTGAATGATCAGCGTGATCATATTGAAGCCTCGATCAGCCAAATGGCTGACCTTTTCCTATGTTTCGATGTATGCTCGAATCAGTGAGAGATCCTCAACTCATCTGTTGTTTGTTCAGGGACAAGCACAGCCTTTGTCCAGGGGAAACGCTTTTGCTGCGAGACACTGAGTCTGGGCTCACTCCAGAGGGACTATGAAACTGAAGGAGGACAGTCCAAGCAGGACTGTGCTGAAATTGGGGGAGATGTTATACCAGGAGCGTATCTGCCATCTCAGCGGCTCATAAAAACAAACACAGCACTGTTTGGAAGACGTGCCAACAAGTAATCCCGTTTTGATCTGGCCAAGTTTTATTCCTCAAACAACAGTGTGGGCACAGGTCGCTATCACTTTGCTGTTTTCAGGAGCTGGTTGTGTACAAAAGTCACTGCCAGGCTTCAGGACAGTGACTACACTTCTAACGGCTTCTGGGTGTACTGAGTGTGTGAAAGAAATTGTACAAATGCAAGTCTTTCTTCTGAAAAGAAAGTACGTTGAAAATGGGAAACACAAACAGATGATTGTGAAACTCCACAAGGGGGTTTTTGTTAAACGAAAAGATTTCCCGAGAAACCCCAACAGCATCGCGTGTAGCTAATTGTTGCAATCAGGTTGACTTCTGATTCTGCCTCCCATTAGTATTACTGCGAGTAAAAACAAACAGTTTGCTGTTAGAGACAGTCACCCTGGTCACCTCAGGTTTCGACTTGGTGAGGTTAGTTTCTTTCCCCACCAGCTGGTCATTTGTAGCCTGTTGTTGAAAGTGATCCTACTCCTCTGCTTTTACCCATAGCCCTACACCCAGGGGTATTTATCTAATCCTTTCCGAAAGGTAGTCATTTAACAACTGCAAATCCCCGAAGTCAAGTTTAAGGTGATTAATCCTGCACTCCCTCTGTGGATAGAACACTTGGTAATGTCTAGGTGTCTCCATAAGGAAAAGTTACAAATTAATCTGTTTCCACTGACTTTGCAGGCAGTGCATTCCAGATCCTCCTGACTCGCTGTGTTAACAAATGTCTCTCCATCTCCTCACTGTTCCATTTGCAAATATCTAAAATCTGTTTACAAGGCCTCAACGGTTTCGCTGATTGTCTTCAGCATAACTTTTCATGTTTTTGAAAACCTCTATCAAAGTTCCCTCGACCTCCTTTTAACTTCATTCTCTCTCTGATGTCCCTCTTACCAAGTATCACTCAGACATCCCAAAGGGGAAGAACAGTAAAACTAGCCAATGGCACATCTGCTCCGTTTAAAATCGAGCTCCAGTACTACCAATACCTTCACTTCTAAGTATTACTTTTATACAACTGGTTGTTCTCTCTGGAAAACGGCATCTGAAGCCTCTGAGAGATCAGGTTGGGCTCAAATGATTTAAACAGTGGCCTTGTCTCGGAGCGGGCTCCCTACATCTGATCCTGAAGGAAGGGAAAGACCTCAAACTGTCACCCAAGCTCTGACAGACCCAACAACTGCTGATCCTCTTCCTGGAGCAGCTGGGAGGGACCTATGGGACTTGGGATATTTCTAACCCCTTTCACGGATAGAGGGAGCTCCTGTTCAGAATGTTATTGCTGGCTTTGAGAAGTTGCTTCTCCTGTGTGCTCATACTTTACGTCTCAGGAATAAGTCCATGACGAATGATTTTTAGCTAGGGTAATCCCACTCTTCATATCGTTTGGAAATTTTAAGGGACGTTTCTGGCTTTGTTTAGGCTTGTTCTGAACACAAGGCAGTCATTAGACATGCAAGTAACCCCTTCTGTGCAACAAACACTCAAATGAGGAACGATGGCCCAGACTGCAGGGAACTACTAGGGGAATTTCAGCAAATTAAATAGCTCCTTCCGAGAGCTGACACAAATGCAATGCACCGAGGAACTGCTTTCTGCCACGTGATAGTCTTGAAACATTCCAGTTACTCCCCTCTCGGTGGAGAACTAAGACTGGTTTGCACTATGCATTACTTAAAAATAGCCCAATTTTTAACTAAACTAAAATCAAGAAACTGCTGATGCTGCAGATCTGGAGAACGATGGCGAAACTCAACAGGAGCATCATTGCAGAGAACGAAACTGAGTTTGTGTCTTGGCACGGTCATACCAGACCCGAAACATTTACTTGGTTTCTCTCTTTTTAGATGCTGTCAAACCTGTTGAGTTTTACCATCCAGCATTCTCCATTACTGATGTAGCTGTGTCACATTATTTTTAGTTTTGTTGTTTTTAGTTATTTTGGCGGGTTGGAAAGAACACTTTTCAAAGAAATAGCAGGAAGCACTTGACCTGAACCTGAGCTATGAGCTCTTAACAAGGTTGTTTATGTGGTTTGTTGGATTGAATTAACTGTCAGATAGTTACTGACGCTCAACTTACATTGACATTATGGTGACTATTATCAGAATTGATATAAACATTCTGCTCTGATTCTTGATTTGAGTTGAGCTACCTTACTGATGTTGGTTACACATTATGTCATCAGTTCAATAATCTCTGCAATATAAACAGAAAGTGCTGGAGAAACTCAGATCTGGTAACATCCATGGAGAGAAACAGAGCTTGCGTTTTGAGTTCGCTGTGATTCTACCTCTGAACTGGAGAAGTGAGGGAGTGATGGGTTTCATGTTGAAAAATGTCACAATGAGCAACTGGATGAGGAGGGAAGGTTAGAGAGTGGGGGAAATTAGAGATCACAGGTGTCACAGAACACAAGGCAATGTGAGTGGTGATGTTAGAGACACAAACTGATAGATCCACAGTGTGAGTTAATTGAAGAATATTCATGGAAGCAAGACATGAGCAGGGGGAAGACAAAATGGAGGATAGAGCTCAGGGTCTGAAGTTGTGTTTGGTCTCCCCACTGTAGAGAAGATCACATTTTAAGCAGACGATGCAGTAAGCTAAATTGAAAGAATTCAGATCACTGCTACACCTGGAAGAAATGTCTGGGAAGTCTTGGGAAGTGAGGATGGAAGAGTTAGAAGTGCAAGTGCTATAGCTCCCGGAATCATCTCCAGAATATGATATCTAACATGGGCCGGGATAAGGCCAATCCAGAATTTGCTGCACACCTGGCCAAGCTGTTCCAGTACAGTTACATCTCTGATAACCATCCGACAATGTGCAAAATTGCCCAGGTATGTCCTGTCTGTGAAAAGCAGGACAAATCCAACCCGGCCAATTACCGCTCAATCAGTCTACTCTCATTGATCAGTAAAGTGATGGAAGGTGTCATCAATAGTGCTATCAAATGGCAATTGCTCAGCAATAACCTGCTCAGTGATGCCCAGTTTAGGTTCTGCCAGGCCATTTAGCTCCTGACCTCATTACAGCCTTAGTTCAAACTAAAGCCTGTCTACCATTTACAAGGCACAAGTCAAGAGACTGATAGGATATTCCCTACTTGTCTGGATGGTTGCAGCTCCAACAATACATGAGAAGCTTGACACCATCCAGGTCAAAGCAGCCTGCTTCCGCTGCTTCCTGTGAGTTCAGCAAAAAACTAGAACTATTTGGCAAAAATTTTACAACCATCTTCTTTAGAAGGCATCAGAGGTGAGCAGCCCTGTGCTGTCATTAGCTTATGCAGTGGAAAGCTGCAAGCTGCAGTCTCTTTGTTTTCAGTTTGCTGTTTGCAACCTTTTTCAAGCTTCTTCCTGTTTAACACAGTCCTCCAGCTATAGCCAGGTGACTCATCACACATTTACATATAAATTTTCTACAATGAATGCCCACATTTGCAATGTGTGATTTTTTGTTGCCATTCTGATCGAGGATCAGCAGCACCATCAGAGCCTATTCCATTGTCCTTTTCATTCTCCCTAAGCCCATAGATCAATCTCAACACTAACCCCAATGGCCAGGCTCTTGCTACAACTCTGTATCAATTTTAAACTAATTCCATTGCTCCATCATCTCCACATTCTCCAGTCCTCCTCCAAAACTTACCGCACTGCTACATTTTCTCTCGTCATTCTGTATCACTCCCAAACTAATCCCTGTGCTTTTCTTTCCTTCCTGTTAGAATTACAATTAGAATTAGCTTTATTGTCATGTTACTCACATGGGTACAATGAAAAGTTTACAGGTTGCCATAATAAAACTCATCCCCAGGTTGACAAAATCTTTTCATCATGCATAGTGATCTGGGTTTGTTGAGTTGCTATGATCCACTTTCTTGCATTATAAGGACCAGGGCCTATATTCAGAACTATATCATGAATGTCATTGCTGCATTTCAGCATGTGGAAGGAAATTTACCACCTCCAAAAGGGTAGAGACTAAAACTGTTCACGGTATTCCAACTAGTGCCCTGTATAGTTTTAGTAAGTCCTCCCTATTTTAATACTGTATTCCCTTTGAAATAAAAGCCAACATTCTATTTGCCTTCCCTCTCATGTGCTGAAATTGTTTGCCAGCTTTTAGTGGTGAACTGCTGCAGTTGTATCTAGATGTACATCCGCAGTGCTATGATGGAGTAGGGATGGAGGGGGTACTTTCAGGATTTGACCCTATGAATAGAAGGAACGGTGATATATTTCCAAGTCAGGAGGTGAATGGCTTGGAAGGGAACTTGCAGGTGCTGGTGTCCCTGTGTATCTTGTGTCCCTGCAGCCCTTGTCCTT